ATTTGAAATCAAAATCTTTTATATCACTATAAATGTCTTTACTGTCACTTTTGATCAGTGTAATGCATCCTTGCTTAATAAAAGCATTAATTTAACAATAAAATAAAAAATGTAATATTAATTTAAACTGGCTGTAAACTCTTATTATGGGGGCAGAAAGAAATATGTGCAACAGAATGTGTGAAACATGCCTTGTCGTTTCCTTCAGTTATCTATTCCATCTAGTTCCATCGCTAGCGTATTTTTTGCCAGGATGGGATTGGGGCAGTTTGTAAAAGATAACAGAGCTGTATTTACTCTTTGAGAGAGTAAATAGTGTTGCTGTTAATAATATTGTTTCCGTTAAGCACTTTTTACCTCCTGCGATGCTAGCACCTGGAGCAGTAGCATCATTTGCGCTAATGATAGCTAATCCGCTCAATTAGCAAAGTACTCATTTGTAATCTGGGCCTCTCTGCTAGGAGGCAAGTTTACATACTCTTCATCTTCCTCTTGCAGACTAATGCCCTACGACATTCACAGTACTGTGGCGGCACACAGTCCCCTGTGGTAACGCGCTAACAGAGGAGCTGTTTCAGCCGATTGTTTGCAAACACAAGAAATGTCTCCACGTCCCTGTCGCTCCCTCGCTCACTCACTCTCATTCTGCCTCCTTCCTACTTTACCACAGGAGACCGCATTCACCTTTTTAGACCATTAATTAGCATGAACAGTTAATAGTGCCTCCTACAATGGCTGCCTCAGCAGTTTTTCCTTAGAGTTGGTGTCACCAAATCAATATCAAGTTGTGCATAAAGCACTAGAGAAACTCAGCCGTAAGAAGCAGGCCTGTGCGGTCATGGTTGCTTTTCTTAGCGATTTTTCTGTTAGAAGCAAGCCATCCCTGAACCAATAAGCATAACGTGGTGTGATTTTGTTTTCTGTACTTTATGATCGTCGCATTCATGTTTAGATAGTATGATATGACACCAGTGAGATCAGATTTTGGTCACGACTGACAGCATCGACAAGAGGTTTAAATTTTTAAAAGTGCAAAAATTGTGTTTCATAAGTAAAAATCCCATTGCTTTTCTCCGTAGCGGAATTGATTGTGAACTGTAACTTATAAACCTTTAAAGACAGACCTACTTTGAGTTACAAGGTTGTCAGTAGATGGTATTTGCTTTTGTTAAAACCAACAGCCTGCATTAATTCAACTTATTATTCTTAAATAAATGTATAGAATTCCAAGTGAAAAACTACATTACCCATGATTCTGCAGAGAATCTCTACCAATCAGAGTATCTCAACCAGCAAGCTGAGCCAAAAGAACCTCCCACCATTTTATGAATACTATGTATTTAGACACACTATTCTTTTGGCATAATATACAGTATAGTAGGGAAGTATTCAATTTAGAACACTGCAATAGAGTCACTTTCCTTACGCTCTAAAATGTTTTGAATATTTGTATGCATAATATGCATATTTTGCAATAGACTCAACATATGTGGGCTCTGTTATCATCATCTTTAAATAAATAGTTTTGTATTTCTCCACTGTTTTTAGTTTGTCATTCGCAATGTTGCATGGCTTTGTAGTTATTTCCCTCAATAAACAATTAAGTTCACAATATTTACAAATATATTTTTGTTTCAAATCCAAATTTGGGTAACACTGTTGATTAGAGAACGCTAGTTAACTAGTTCCTTATTACTAGCATATTGGCTGTTTATTATTTATAAAGCACATATTAGTGCTATATTCTATAATGACCATATTCTAGATCCATTAACGATAAAAAAAAAACTACCACAAACAACTACCGTACTTACTATAAACACACAGCAAATTAGGAGGTTATTGAGGGAAAACTCTTAGTTAATATGTGTTCCCTAATCTAAAGTGTTTCCAAAATGTCTAATGTTGTGATTCTCTTCCTAGCTGGTTGGTTTGGTTTATAGTTCTCAAAAGAAGACCCAAAGGGAAAAATTAATGGGAAAGAATAGTTCCTAAACCTAGGCTGCTGAAAAAGTGGACAGGCACTGTTGCACTCTATTGTATCAGCCATAGAGCCAAATTAGCATTTGTTGGCAATGTTCTGCATGGAAAAAAATGAAATTGGACTGTTGGGAGTCTAATGTGGCTGGCCGAAAAAAGGGATTTTGTGGAGTAACCAAGGTAATTTCTTTTTGTTTTATTATTTATTTGAGCTTCAGAACAATATTATAAAGAGGAAACACAACCGTTGCAGAACAATAAACAAAATTAACTGACAAATGCATAAAAAAACAATAAATTATGGAAGTATTATTGTAAAAACAAATGCATTACAAAATAATAAATTAAAAAAGCATAATCGTAATGTCCTGTAGGGATCTTAATGAACAAAGTATTTATCTTGCATATCATGCAGACAGGCTAATTCTACCAATTGCACTTTTTAGTTCTTCAACAAACACTGGAGGACTGTGGCTCAAACTTTCAGACACTTCATCTGGGGCTGAGATTCATCGCCAAGGCAATTAACCCACTGTCAATCATGTCACAGCAAGCAAATTAAAGATAATTCCCAAAGTTTGTCTCAGACTGCAAAACTGTGGCAAAAACCATATACAGTAGCGCACACAGAGCTTACGTGACAACGCTCTCAGAATTCCCCTCACATCTCCAGGAGAGAGAAGAATGTGTCTAGGATCTTGAAAAAGAGAAATTGGAAAAAATCAAATCAAAAAGCTTGCAGCTAGTTGCAGGATTGTCTTGTTTGCTTTCGCTGTTCTTGTTGTTTTCATTTAACAATGCAGCATGAGTGCTTAGCATTTAGATGACATGTTTGAGGAGAGGTGCAGCAGATCAGATGCACTGCGTGAAGGGTTTCACAGATAGCGCCAGACTTCCAGGGCGGAGAGGCATACGGGCAGGCGGGCATTGGAGAAAGCAGCTCTACCCATAGAATCATGGGCACTGTCAACACCATTGTGAATGACACGGTGACGAGCCAATCAGCACGGGTGCCAACGAGCAGCTTAGAGAGCCTTCTGCATGCCAATGAGTGTAGCGAGTCCAAGAACCACGAGCTTGCCAATGAAGGACTCAAAGTCTTGAAGGGTTAAGAGGTTTTTATAAACATTGAACGAGCACGTGGAAAGTTGGAAGTTTCTTCAACTTGATCTGAAAGTAAAGACTTCAAAAAAAGCCCTGTGAAGTGCAGAATACAGGGCTGGCTAATTTGAGGAGCTTTGAGAATATAAACCAGACAGCAGAGGACAAGCAGTGCTGGGCAGTGACTAACTAAAACAGACACACTATTAACCATACTGTATCTTTTAGTAGGAACTATTATTTATTCATTTATTTAATTTAGGATGGTCTTTTGTGGGTCATACTCAAACATAGATTTTCTGACTTCAGCTAAATGTATTAATTATGTTGATTTATTTATTAAAGTACCCCTATTATGGGTTATGAAAGGTTTATATTTTGGTTTTGGGAGTCCCCAACAACAGGTTGACATGCATGCAAGGTCACACTCATTGTCTTATAATATGCAATTATTTTTATCTTACTTGCTCAACGACTCGCTCAACGATTCATTTTTCCAAACCCCTAATCTGCAGAATTAAAAGTTAAATCTGTCATTGCAGCTTTTTGAAGTGCGAAAACCAGAATTCTCCGACTTTCAAAAGATCCCCGCTTCAGTTAAAATCGCGCTGCTCCACTCTCAATGCACTTCGATCCCATACGCTGCTTTGGGGTGGCAACTGGGGTGGCAAAGCTCATTTTAAGGGTGGCAGTTGCCACCCCGTGCCACCCTTGTGGACACGCCACTGCCAGGGAAACCGATATTTTTACGGCTCCAAAAGCGGCACCTAGTGGCAAAGAATGAATTTGCATTTTCATTCAGACCAAGTTTTCCCGGGTCTGCACGCGCAACAAGTGGGCGGTCCAATATGCTAATGTTTCATGTTGACGTCAACATGAAACGGCTTGGGATTCGTTTTAAAAACGACTTGTTTTAATGATTCAGAGTCGACTCTCTCTTTTGAGAGACAATAACTTTATACACGGTGCACTTTCAGATTTAAAACTTTGCAGGATGTTTTCATTCACTTAGAGCTGTATTACACACTGCATGAAAGGTAATTTTCAAAATTCCGTAATAGGGGCACTTTAACATGTTGAGATTGATACTAATCATAAAGGACAACTCGTTTTTAATTTTTTTTATTTTATTATTTTATTTTACGGAAGGATTTTTATCCTCTTTTCCTTTTATTTGTTCGTTTTATTCTTTTATTTTTCTCAAATTCATTTTAATGTATAATCTTATTTCATTTTAACTAATTTATTCTCTTTCCAATGTTTACTACTTACATTTATTGTTGTTTTTTTATTTGTATTTCTTGTGAAACTTTTTAAGATTACTATTTTTTTTTTTTTTTTCCCTGCAAAACACTTTGAATTACCACTGTGTATGAAATGTGCTATATAAATTTGCTTTACCTATAATCTCAAAACACGTACCACTGATCAGTCTCAATAACATAATAAATTAATACAAAAATAATAAACAATTAAAGGAACCAACATGTTTCAATTAATCATCATTTTTTTTAAAAATGGTGGAAAATCACAATTTGCACATTTAAACGGCCTCTTTACTCTGAACTTTAACCTTGGGAACATTTTCCACACAATCTCTTAGTCTTAGTTTAGTGTTTTGCATTGCAATACTTCTGTATTTTGACAAAAAAAAATGTTGTTTCAGGTTATTGACAAATAAAAATGGACAAAAAATGTGCAAAACGTAGTTATAGTTTATAGTTGAATCTATTTCATATTATTTAATAAACTGTTAGGTTATAGAATGATGTTTTTTATAGTGTTTCTCAACCGTTTGAAATCTTTTGCATGACTGTAAAGTCAAGGGATTTATTTTTCATGTTATTTAGTAGAATTTCGTTATATAACACAAGTCTAATGAAATATCTGACCACTATTTCTTTTCTCTTTTTTTACAGCCTCTGCCCAAGGAGCCATCCTAAAGGACTTCAGATTGCCGTGAGGAGGTGAGTGGTGCTTCAGTAAGATTATCTCTTATCTTGCTCTGTTTGCTTTTCCTTAGTAAGCCATCATTGTCTCTAAATCTAATTTGCAAAGACGGTGCTCGTCCAGCGAGAAAAAAGCAAAACGCGGCGACCGACAAGAGTGCTATCACAGCGTTGGCTTTAAAGCAACATGACAGATACAGAGCACAGGTACAGAGGTGAAATAAGGCAGAGCAGAAATCGAGTGGAAATCTTATCATTTATCCGGCCAATTGTGCCCCGCCGGTGCTGATGAAGTTGTGTTAAGAGTGACGCACCTGATCAGTGGAAGGGCTAAAGCTGGATTAGAGGGCAGCTGGGGGCGCCGGTTTTGCCGCGGATCAAGAGATGAAGGGAGAAGATGATGTTGCGGGACGTGAGCTGAAACCCAAAATCCCTCGTGTTCTGCCTCAGTAATGATTGCAGATGGCGCGATGGTAGCAAAGAAGGAGATACGGTTATATTTAACAAGATATATTTACATGCCAGCTGTTGTTTGTCTTTCCGTCATGCTTCTAGCGATTCCCAGTGAGTGTACATGGCTTGGGAAAGACTGTAGTTTTGCAGTGCAGAAGGATAATATGCATACAGGAATTTGCATAAATGTATGTTAATCCTTGAGGCAATTAGCACCTGTCGGTTTCTCAGCAATAGCTTTCCGGTCTTTTCATTACATGGCAAAATAATATGCTGAATATTGTTCTAAAACTGCCACCAACATCATTTTTCCTGTATTGAAAAGTGTCCTTTGGGAAACAATGCCTTTTCACGTCAGTGTTATTCCAACAGTCAGAGCTATATTTGAGTTGCACATGCCTTTATTTCTTTAAAAAGCACTTTATTAAAAAAGCTAGTCATGAGGGAAGACTTTTTATTGAAAAGCTCCATTATAAAAGTGTCCAGAGTGAGCACTTAAGGAACATCTCAGAGGGAAGCTGTTGTGTAAGACTTCTGGGGAGCATTGTAGGCTTTGTGGCTCCGCGGTGGTTCTAGGAAATGAAATTCTGTATGGCGGTTCTGGTTCATGCCAGTGTTATCAACATTTCCAGCATGTTGCATCCTCTACCCTCAAAAGAACGGCGCGTGTATCGTAGGCAATCACGGAGAGATGGAGAAACGGCAAAGAGGGATCGCCATAAATATTTACTTGGAGAGGAACTGGAATGTACGAAATTGTGTTCTGATTACATTGACGTGCATTAAAAATGTATTCGAGTAATTTGGGGGGAATGTCTGATTTACAAATCCCAATAGTTTTTTCTCTAACTCAAGGGTTCCCAAATTTACTGCTGTAAAAAATCAGATAATTGCATAATGTTTTCAATTCACCTATTTAATTATGGCTGATGTTATTGTGTTTTGATAATTGACTGAATACTTAGCTTAGTGGAGATGAATACGCAGTTGGCACGCTAAACACTAAAAGCCTGTTCCCTTTATGAAAATTATTTTTGGAAAAGAGATTTATCCTATATAATGATGTTTAACTGTCTTAAAAAATAATACTTTAATTGTTCAAAAAAGTATCACAGCCCAGTTTCAGAAAATGTTTGGAGATTTTAACATTTATGTTTTCTATAGATAGTAAAATCATGAAAAATGTAAAAAAAACTTTAGAGTGAATTAATTTTTTATGCTCTTCCATAAACTTTTCTTTAGCTAAAACATGGCACTTGCAATGCCAGGGTCATGGGTTCGTTTCCCAGACATTGTGTGAATTTATTATATGTATGCAGTATCTGGAATGCATTCATTCAATGTAAGCCACATTGGATAAAAGCATCTGCTAAATGCATAAAAGTGTCTTCAGTATTAATGATGTGTACTGTAAAAATTGCTTGTAAACTATAGTGATCACACAAATTGCTGATGCAGAATCTAATTCTCAAGTCATTTTCTAGAATTTGTTTATTAAGTCAAACTTGTCTAAAAGAAAAATATATGATGTTCTACTTAAATGAAAAAATCCTTTATACTGTGCACTTACAGTAAGAGTATATTTTCATTATGTATTATATAAGTTGCCAAGGGTGGGATTGTTCACCTAACTTTTCTGAACTTTTAGAACTTTTTTCAGTTGTAAATGCCTGCTCATTAGGATATTTTTCAGTGTTTTACCCACCGTAAATGAATAGGTAACTATGGTAGCCAGGTTTTTCTTTTCCTCTAAACCATATCCTTTTATGCCTCTATACTTCTGTTTAACATCATTAAATGATTGTGCATTTCTAAAACCTTTCTGTGGAGAAATTGTCACAGAGGCTGTATGCTTATCGAGTGCCAGACTTTTTCTGAATATCAGGGTCTTTAAATCTTAAAGAGGCAAATATCCAGACACTTTATTAAATTGAAGACACTTTTATTCAACCAGAAACTTGTATGTAAACATAGAAAAATATTTCTAGTTGAAGAAGTAGACTTTTGTTGTTTTAAGACTCAAATACTGTATGTTTTTTTTCCTCCAAATTTAACTGGGACTCGAGTCTAAATCTCAGACGCAAGTTCACTTTAAAAATAACTTGGCAGCCATTACTTTAACTCATCCAATTAATTTAACAAATTTAACTTAATTTATGAAGTTATATGATATACAACTTTTTAAAGGCGGTTTAATATAATTTAGGTTGAAATGACTTGTGCAGCCATGCTTAAAAAATGAAGGCAGCAACTGAACGTTTTAATTGCAATACGTGGAATCTTTTTTTTTTTACAGTGTTTGTAATTTTTTTTTATTAAGTATTTTCTATGAACTGGCTTAACCGTTCACAGATTCTTCAGCGAATCATTGTCTATCGACTCGCTGGTCAAAAAGTGTGCAAACCCTGCACAGTGAGAGTGTGAGATTTTCTATGCAGAATATCACAACTACTACAGCAACAAAGCACAAAAGAGAGCTTAATTATACACTTTGATTAAAACAGAGCAGAGAACTGTACTAAAGCATGATTGTATTTAAAATAACTGAATATCTTAGCAGGACACCAGCTCGGAGGAAACAATGCTGATTAGTGCGCAGGCGATGTACATTTACATATTCCATTTTATTTCTCTAAATGCAAATTAACACTCAGACAGACAACGGGTGGCATAATTCTCCCTTTAAAAACTTAATGGTGCCGCAAGACGAACGCAGCCACGTCGAAAGGCCTGTGTGTAACAAAATAATAATTTCACTAAGGCTTTCGTGCTAAAAAACACAGGCATTCACCCTCTGCCATTTACATTTTTCAAAAGCATGTGCCTTTCAAAGCAGTCATATAAAAATCATCATTCGCTAAGTAAACACAAACAAAAAAGCCACAACATCAACAAACATGAAAAGACGAGGCAGGAAAAGGTAATGCAGGTCATTTTTTCTTGCCTTTGATCAGCCACAAAATGCATTTCCCTAATGTCCCCACCGATGGTTTTCTCTTTGTGTGTGCGCAGGTTTGCTGACATTCACAGGAGCGACGCCAAACAGGAATCATCCATCAGCCCCCACACATTTGTGTCCATCCTCTCATTTCGGAGCTAAAGATATCAGCTGCCCCTCTCCCTGTCACCCTCCAACAGGAAATGGAATCCGTGCACCATGGTTGCAGTCAGTCAAGCGTCTCTACAGTTACATGCAGGTCATCGAGTCCCAGCGGCCGTCATCGTCTCACAGCTGGGGACACGCAACATTTTCAATCAAACCTTGACATAATTGAACTGTTTAAGTTTTGATCTCAAAATGCATTAGCTAGGAGAACATTTCACTCACTTTCCATCCAGTTAAACCGTCAGAGGAGACTGTTCGTGTACCTTTCAGACTAAGATTACGTAAATTCCTCGCGAAGAGCGGCGAGGCTGTTGCATAAGAACCATTTCGAAGGACCCCAACTGCGTCTTCAGAGCAAGGACATGTCGTCGATGAAAGGCCAAGGATGTGCAGAGACCTATAAACGTACCGCAGAGCTCAGGCTCTCTGTAAAAGGACGTGTTTTCCTATGGAATTGAGAAGCAGCAGATGACTGATGTGTCCTGTAGATATGACCTCTCGCGGTTTGACCATATGGATTGTGTGCTGTTGAGCTCTGTCTGAGAATGGCAATGCACTGATGCCCTCAACTCTAATCATGGCTGATTTAAAGATTAGCAAACAATGTGTGGATGTCATCTGTCCCTTCCTCTCTGGGGCGTCTCTTTCACTCTCTGCTTTAAATGTCTGTCTCTAATGGATATATCATTTCTATCGATACTTTATTTTGACTGTAAATTGACACTTGCGATGGAGTGTTGACCTAGATAGGAAATAAAAAGGTGTGTCCATGTAAATGTGCACAACGCTTTGGGGACTCTCTCTATATTGGGGGCCATGCTGATTTGCTGCGTAAAATCAATGTGAAATCATAATGCATATTTAGTTTCGTAATAAATGGTCCTGTTTTATTTGTGAATAATTCATTGGTGCAATCACTATACCGTTCAAAATTTGTGGTTAGTAATATTTTTATTTTTGAAAGAAGTCTCTCATGCTCACCAAAGGCTGCATTTATTTGATCAAAAATACAGAAAAACTGAAATATTGTTGCAATTTAAAATGACTTTTGTATTTGAATGTATTTTAAAACGTAATTTATTCCTATGATGGTAAAACTGAATTTTCAGCACAATTAGTCTTAAGTCTTAAGTGTAACGTGAACCTTAGGAAATAATTTTAATATGATGATTTGCTGCTCAAGATGTTTTTTCTTTTTTTTTTTAATCAGTGTGGAAAACAGTTGTGCTGTTTGATATTTTTGTGAAAACCGAGATGTTTTTTTTTTTGGTTGGGGGGATTTTAGTACTTCAATTAAATAGTTCAAAATAAATTAGCATTTAGATAACAATATAAAAGTCTTTACTGTCACTTTTGATCAATTTAGTGCATCCTTGCAAATTTAAAGTAAAAGATTAAAAAAGAAACACTCACTGACCCCCAAACTTTTAAACAGTAGTTTAAATCTAAAAATCTTTGTTTTTATATTCCTTTATTAAAACATATCTTTTAAAAACACTTTAGTTGTTGAAGAAATTAATGATAGTCAATAAAATCATATTTTTGCATGATCCAATCAGATTGCAATAGGATGAATAATCCTATCATATATTTTTTTTCTTACCCAATATTCTGTTTAACTCAGAAATGCATAAAAATTAAGTTAAATACTTTGTAAATGCTGATTCATATCATCAGAAAGTCTAAATTAATCGACTTGGTAAACATTCTTATTGTGCACAATTCATTGGTACATGTTAATTCACCTCTAAAACATCTTTTCTTTGGTTAAATCTCCAAATAAATAAAAAAAATGATGGTGGTGTTTCAGGTGTTGAGTAATCCTTCTAAATAGACTGCAACATCCAGTTAAATTCCAATGGCTAAAATCTACATTATTTCCTTGGAATATTCAGTTTCATTTGGAAATACGTCACGATACATCACGGAAATACATGGTAGAACTTATAGTGCAAAGAAAAAAATGCTGTTTCATGTTGACTTCAAGTATGTGAAAGATATTTTTTTGTGTGTTTTGCTCTTTGTTATCTCTAATACTGAGGCAGTCTGCTTTTCACAAATACACTAATCTATTGTCAAATTGGTTCTCCTCGTGGCCAGTGGAGAAGATGAATCCATATAATGGATGTAACTGGTTGCATATAGCAGCGAAGTCCCGTAAGATAAAAGAGCGAAAGAATATGGTCACTTTCAGTGAACAGTAGTAATTCATCAGTCTCATGGGCTAGGCCCGGCTCCCTGAGTTGTGAATTTTAATGGTGTTTTTATGGTTCCTAATAAAGTCTGTTATGCTTCTGGCAAATATGCAGAGCACGACATCGCTCGCTTCCAATTACTGAGAAACTCAAGGAGATTCAGTGTTCATTCGTTATGGCGTATAGTTATTTAGGAATAACAGGACTGTCTCTCTCTCTTTCTTTCTCTCATGGATTCTCTCTCTACCCGTGTATGTGGAGTAGAGTGACAGTAATTTCCCCTCCTCGCTCAAAGTGTCTGTAACCTGTCCCAGATCCACTCCAGGTTTTCCATTTCCTGCTCCTCGCTCGATCCACACTCACTGGTGAGAGAATCCAAGGGGTCAAGGTTTGGCTGGTCAGCATGGTCCGGTTTGCCCCTGTTGGTAGACATTGCAACTACACCTCCTGGTGCAAAAAGGTATCTTCTTCATTGACAGCCATTTAGAATTCAAGCAACGTTCAAATAGTAAATATTTTGGTAAGACTTTAAAATAAGGTTCCGTTTCTTAACTATGTTTAATGCATTAACTAACAGCAACTAACAAGCAATACATTTGTTACAGTATTTATTAATCTTAGTTAACCTTAGTTAATAAAATACAGCTGTTCAATGTTAGCTCAGTTCCATTAAATAACACTAATATATACAGCTTTTGATTTTAATAATGTATTAGTAAATGTAGGAATCAACATTAGCTAATAACTGCTTTAGAAGTATTTTTCTTAGTTTAACTAATGTTACAGATGGAATCTTATTGTAACCAGTGTTTCTTTCAATTGCACTTTTATTACAGTAGATATTTTACCAGTGCCATATATTATTTGTCAAATGGACTTGTGAAATATTATGTATTATATTATTTATTATATTTTTCTGTGTGCTGCTTTTGATGTCATAGCACAGGATAGTCAATGATGAATTTTGTTTCTGGTTCAGAGTAAAAAATACCTTTTTTTTGCAAGCAGCTGATATATTAAACCTTTAAATAATATTTCATTTGATTATAGTTAATATTTTACCAATGCCAGATATTTTTTTGTGAAATTGACTTCTTATTTTATAACATTAATAATATAATCATAATTTATCTAATAATATTTATTCTATTTTTCTGTCTGCTGCCTTTAACAGCACAACACACAGAAAAATTAAAATATTTCAAGTTCATTTTTTATAATTATGACTTTACATTTCACAATGTTGACTTTGTTTTGACCTTCTCATATTTCTGATTTTATACCTCATAATTATTTTGTGCCATAATTGAGAATGTTTTACATTTTCGATTCTCAAAATTCAAACTATATATTCATTAATAGTGAATTAATTTCTCATTGAATTAACACTACTTTTATTTTTCATGACTTTAGTTCCTTCTTTATTTTTTACACTGAAACGAGAGCAGTCTTCAATAGATATAAGCTCTCCATAAATTTTCACTAAATATTTTGTTTTTGTTCATTTTTCTTGCAATAATATTTCACAATCATCATTTCTTTCAGAATCTTAATAGTCTTTTAACACCGTGTTTAACACATGGCGGTATCAGAGTGATCCTGGAGCGAGAGAGAACATCGGTGGTCCCATTTTCAATGAAACGTTCCTCGCTTCAGGCAAAAATCACACAACTCCGCTGCTTCTCCGCATTGTTGTCTATGACTTTATCCCTGAAGTGCTGTTGTTACAGGTTGATGTTTACTGCTCTGACAGCATTATTCTTTTACATTTCAAATGACGTCCCAGTGAGATCCTGCAAGACCTCAAGGCTTCTGCCTCCACTGTACCTGTGATTTATTATTTATCAATAGGAACAACCACATTAATGGCTGGAAAGCCCGCGATCTTTATTTTACTTGCACATTGGCATCTATTCCTGTGATTCCTAGGTGACATTTATGTACATATTTGCTCATCGTGAATGGTGCTTGTGGTTATGGGATCAATAAGGCCATAACATCAAATCACGAGTGCAGAACGGTCCTGAGAGGTTGCGTTATTATGGCAATATCTCTGCCGTTGACCTGCTGTATCAAGCTCCAGTACACCAGTATGATCTATCCGTCAGTGCTAACCATGAAGGAAGCCATCACCTGTCACATTCTCATGACTTAAGGCAACATATGGCTGCAGTGCATGTAATTCTCGTGTATTCTCAACCGGAACTTGAGCGTGTTCTGTGGGATGCTGATGTTGAAAGAGTTGAGGATGCGCTGCTTCACTCTACCAAGGCATTTCTGGTAGTTATCCACCCTGAGGCATCTGTCATTAAGTTTATATAATACAAGCGTAATTGGGGTTTATGCCCAGATTAAGAGATCGTTACACTTAATTACAACGAATCATGCTCTAAGATGTCTGGGCCAGAAGATATAAAACAGCCGATAGTGTGAGAATGAATGAAGCATGCAAGTGCATAATTACCATGTTTTGTCGTCTTTAAGATCCTGATATTAAAATTACATGCACAGGATTTTGTAATCCATGCAAACATTTTTTGAGCACTCAAAAATTACATTTTAATAGCAGTGCATGGAAATGAAAATTTGCTGTTAATTTACTCACCCTCAGGACATCCAAGATGTACTGTAGATAACTTTCTTTCTTCAGTAGAACATTAAAGATGTTTTTAGCTGAATCTATGGTCCTTTGTGATTCATGAAGTGCAAGTGCAATTTTGAGATTCAAATTAATGCCGGCTGCTCTTGATGATAAATTGAGGTCTTTACGATGGATTCAGTTCACAAGTAATTTCCCCCACATACATCAACATGCGACAAAGCTTACTCCAGGACCGTTTGCTTGAGGCTATTGATCATAGATAATAAGGCTGTAAGTAATGTTCCTTTTCTTGCACAGACTGATTGTTTCACTTCACAGGAACTCAATATATCCGAAGCTGCCAAAAAACACGGATTCAGCTAAAAATCATCTTTAATGTTCTGCTGAAGAAAGAAAAGAAAGTCACCTATCTTGGATGGCCTGAGAGTGAGTAAATTAATAGATCACTTTCATTTTAGGTGAACTATTCCTTTAATATTATTCCTTTAATAAAAATGCAAAATGTTCGAATTATATTAAGTCAAGTAGCCTTTATTTTTCTATTTTTGTACAAGAGAGATTGTTTTAAAGCAGCTTCACAGTTTTAAACAGTATTATCAGAATCAAAAATGCAAACTTTAAATATTCAAATTCTGCTATACATGACAATATTATTCACCTCAAGTCATTTCGGTGTTGATTCGGTTCAGTTCAATAACTGTGTGAAGTTCAGCAATTGTGAAATATTTTCAATTTAGCTTTAAGCAGCTTAACTGAAGATGTGGAGTTATTCAGCTCGAGTCAGTTCAATGTTGTTGTTGTTGTTGTTTTTTTAGATTTATTTTTGGCAGCTAATTCAGCTATTAAGCAGATCCACCAAAGACAATAGTGTCATTTTTCAGCTAAATTAGTTCAAGTTTCGTTTTCATCCAATAGTGTCAGTCCAGTCCAGTCAATAATATTGCTGTTATTAAGTGCTGTTATTAACTAGACCCCAAATCAGCAAGTCAAAGGCTACAGTGGCAAGGAAACCAAACTCCATAAGGTGACAGAAATGGAGGAAAAAAGCCTTTAGAGAAACCAGGTACAGCATTACTGACC